TACTTTGTTCCTGCAGCACTTTATTTTTATATTATTTTTTTAGGGATGCATGAAATCCCATTAGTATTTTTAACACTCCCTCTTTTTTTTTTTTTTTCTTTCATTCTTTTGCTCAGTTAGATCAGCTCCTTTTGTCAGGATGAGTTTAAATCTGGGTCCACTGTGTTAATCACCCCCCTTTCTTCTTTCTGGCACTTCCCCTGCAGGCATTTTGCCTCTTTAGGAGATTAAGCGACCAAGTCATCTTGTTGCTCTAACATGTCCTCACTGGAGCAACATATTAACACAACTCCTCTGCGAAAGAGCCCTCTTTAGAAGTTTGCTGCAGGGATGACAAATTAACCCAGCATGGTGTCCCCACACATCCATCTCGGTACAAATTATTAGTGTAATAGAGGTTTTAGTTATGCATTTATCTAGTAATTATTGAATGGTTATACAGAAGGAAGCTGAGCAATCGTGGCCCTTTATGAGGCGAGCTCGGTGGGTGGTCTTACAGTTAATTTAGGATGGGACTGTCTAAGCAGTTCACTCACACACAAATTAGCCCAACAGCCTGCTCCTTTAAATATTTCCTATGTCACAGGCTAACTCTTGACAATACAACAAAGGTAGAGTTTTAATTACACGGTGGCTGACTTTTGTTTAGCTGGAGCTTTAACCCTTTGCAGGTCTCCCTCTCTTGCCCTCCCTGCCCGGGCTACAGCGGTTTGGGGATTGTGTCATGGCTAAAGCCCGACCTTGAGGCCATCTGTTGGGAAACTGCTTTTCCTTCAGCACCAGGTTACTCCAAAGTGAGTGCAGAAAATCAAAATCTCCCCCTGCTCAGTCAGCTGTCCTGACACTGTGAACTGGATCAGGCAGACTCGTCTGATGGTCAGCGCTGTGCTGTTTATGGCTTCCTCGCCCTTGTGCTGTGACTCTCTCCTGGCTCCCTGACATCACTCTCTGTGTCAAGCTGCACCCCTTGGTTTTTGTCAAAATTCAGAGGGAAGTAGAAGGTTACACCACTGTGCCAGCTGACAGCACCAAGAAGCAGCCACAGAGCGGGACATTACAAAATGTCTTTGTCCAGTGTACACCAGGAGCCATCACTTTGATTCACTCGGAGCTGGCTGACAGGACAGCGAGCAGGCACCAGGACTTTGGTGTCCCAGCGGAGGATTCTGGTAGAGAAGGACACAGTATCTTTCCAGATATGTGACATAAAGGCTTTGCCACTTTGGCATGAACAGAGAGTACTGTGCTGCGGCGTTTCCCTGGCAGGCTTTGTCCTGATAAAAGTCTAAGTGGCAATGGTAATTATGGAGGAAATTAATATAATGGAAACCAGTCCACTAGTTGACTTTCATCCCTTCTTCTCACACACCCCCTTCCTTGAGTTCTTGCCTTCATGCTGTATTTCTTGCTTCTTGTAATTGTGTTTCTCCTTCATTTATCTTCCTAACACACCATCTCATTGTTATTTTTTTTCCTTTCCTTGCCTTTTCTTCCTTGCTTTTTTGGCTCACGGGATCCACTGTCATATTCCATGGGAATGCTTGAATGCTCTGCAGCACAGGCTGCTGTACATCCTGGCTTTACAAGATCTTGGTCAATTTAATGTTTCAGCCAGCTCCAGTTATAAAGTCACCAGAGTGTAAGTAGCAATACATGGAAGCCTGAAACCATTTATGTAAATACTGCTGTCACCCATAGTATTTAAATCCTTCACTGCCTGGTGAAGTGTTCAAGTGGTCTGGGAAGCTTTGTGAGATGCCAGCAATCCACAATGGCTTTGCAGTGCTGGAGTGCTGTGGTGAGCTACGCTGACCACCAAATAATCTCATTTGCAGGTAACAAAAAAGTGTGCCTGAGTAGGAGAGAGATCTGGCTGCTCAAATTTTCAAGGCTTTGAAATAAATTCTAAAACTGATAGTGATGCTAAAGCCACCCTATAGGTGATCAATTTACCATCTGCCAGACACTGAATCCTAACCACGCTGGTCCAGAGAAGACATATGGTGCATTCATAGAGTCATGCCCAAAAAACTGCCATCATCAAGTGAGGCTCCATGAATCACTTTGCTAGCTTATCACCAAAGAAACTTGGATCTTGCCACCATCTGTTGGAAGTACTGAGGAGCCACTGAAGCATTGGCATCCCTGCGCCAGCACTCGCTGCACATCTGGTCTGCTGGTCAGCCAGCTCGGATCCTCTCTCCTGGCTACTGCCCAGCTGGGCTGGGCACTGGCAGCAGCACCAGTGCAGACAGGAACGAGTGCACAGCCTTCCACAGCACAGCACATCCAGGCAATTCCATGAGAGCAGAGGTGTTCCAGCCGCTTCGTTGGGTGGAGCACCTTAGAGCGAGGAAATCCTCTCAAGGATCTTACTCCTCCTCCAAGGAAGTTTTGTTTCCAGAATGACTCATTGTGGGGACCACAGGGAAGGGCATTCAGTATCCTGGGACACCCCGGCATCATTTGTGCAGTGTGTTCCAAGGGATGCTTGGAAGCATGTGAAAGATTCGGGAATATTCCCGAGAAGTTATAAATCACTGGTTGTCAATGCCAACACCTGCCATGAATAGTCTGCAGCTTCTTCTCTGCTGTCTATTTTGATCATGCTTTACAAATGCATCTCATACACACATCCAAGTGATAAACTTGCACATACGAACATGAGAAGGAGATGGAACCTCCTTGTGATCGTCGTGTTGGCTGAGGAGCTTACTCTGATGGTGACCTACTTACTCACAACTCCCCTTCCTCCAAATCTCTCTGCAGAATGGAGATTGAATCCTGCTCTTTGTTTTCCAAAGACCCCTCAGACTGACCTGCCACTGACCATTTACATAATGCACCCGTGTCCAGAGGGAATTTAGCCTCTGTGTGCTGTACCATCATCTCTGCAGAGGCACAACTCCCAGTCACTACTGGTGGAAGTGAATCTCTCAATTATATCCTCTTATACCACAGCATTATACTCTTTATGTTGCCACTTCTGATACCTGAAAAGCTTCTCTCTTCTGCTTACTGTCCCTAAAGTACGCCGGAGGCGATGGGATAAAGAACAAAGCTGGATTTGCAGAAAATAATCCATCTCAGTGTATCACCCTTTACTCACAGAATGATTGTTGCAGCAGGGAAATAAACACAGCCAGTGTGCTGTGAAAGAAGAATACTGAGGAGGAATGTCCCAAAAGAACAAAGGATGAAGTCTGGGACAAGATTTTTTCAGGATGATGGCACTTAAAGAAACCATGGATGGATTCAAAGGCATTTTTTTCCTGAAAGTCAGTGAGACTTTGTTTGTGAACCAGCATAAAATAGAAGATGCTTCTAAATGATGTTGCAGAAGAACAGTTTTGGTTAACTTTTTAGGAACCATGATGATTTAAAAGCTCCGCTTCTTTGTGGAGTTGGTAAAGAACATCTCCTTCCAAACAAACAAAAAATGTGGGACTGTAATAATTCTATGTGCTTTTCTGGCTCCCACTGAATGTTCTTCTCACGTAGCCAATGGAAATCCCTCAGTGCACAGAAAAAGTCTTGTGAAAACAGACTGTAGATGAGATTTAAACAAGGCCTCACCACTGAGACATTTCCTCTCTCAACCACACAAGAATCCAAAGCACAGAGGGTCTAAACAGGGGCAGACAAAGGCAGTCAATGATCTTAAAAAATTAGTGTGAGGTAAAACACAGCTAAATAAAGAAAGGTCTATTAACTAATCAATCAACAACTGAAATCTAAAAGGCTGAACTTCTAAAAGACAGGAATTGGGAGTCAGCTGATGTGCACTGAATAGAATGTTAATGGAAGCTTCATATTAGTCATACTTGTATCACCAATTATCAAGGCTTTTAAAAGAGGACATATTTGCCAGACAGCTCGGATCCAAATTTCAAGGGAAATCTCTGTAGAGCTTAGATGCCTAAATTTCTTCTGAGGATCTGGGTGCATGTCTAAGGGTAATGAATAATTTTTATGGATTAACCACAACAAATCAAACTACAATAAGCAGATTTAACAAAGCACAAAACCTCCTGAAGTGCAAGTCTGACCTTGCTTCAACTTTGTGCAACTCCACCATTTCTCACCACATCACCTGGATGTGCAGACAAAGAGGCTCCTCCTGGTTTATGCTGCCCTCAGTAAAACCACGCTGATGCCAAACAGACATTTCCAAATAATTTCTAGGATGAATTGCTAATATGCATTTTTATGCTTCACCATTCTACCAATTCCTTAATAATCTTCTCTAAATGAGACAAAATTTCATAGCAGAAAGAAACGTGTCACGACCATTCATTCCTATTTTTATGTCTTCCAAAGAGGTTTGTAAGAGGATTCATTCATTTGTGTCTCTTCTATGCCCAAGTGAGTTCCTTTTCAAACCTGAACTCCGTATTGCATTTAGTTTTCTAGGCTAAATGCAAATGCATCTTTCTAACAAAAATGTATAAACACACAGAGACCCAGAGGACATCTCTTTTACTTGGAAAGTCAGTCAGAAGAGTACTGAGAAGGAAACCAGCCAAAGTCTTGCAGGAACCAACTTCAAAGGAGTCCCCTAACAAGGCACACTGACACCAGCAGCTCAAGAATAAATGACTGGCAGAAGGAAGTTCACAGAGCTGGAAGACAGGCGTGGGTCAGAAGTGATGGATGGGTCCCTGTCTCGAGCAGTTGGACCGAGTCAACGTGATGGATGGCCACAAGCAGAAGACACCTCCCTGCAACACATCCTGTCCCTTTCCCCACCCTCTTCCAACAAAACCCCAAGGCCCCAGAAACCAGCGTTTCCACCTCGGGTGGTGGTCAGGAGCTTTCCCAAAAGCAGCCCAGCCTATCAGAACCAGCCTCTGGACACCTAAACCCTGGTGGGCGTCAAGGTGGCGAGCACAGCCCCTCGCTGGGCGGTCACAGGCGGCGATGGCTTTCCGTGGAGCTGGCACGGCCACGGGAGCCGTGGCTGCCCTCCAGGGCCTGGGGGCTCTCGGGAAAGGCCTCACCTCTGGGTCCTGTAATGACAGGTCGATGGTGCTGTGTGAAAGCCGTTCCAAGGGAGGAGGTCTGCGAAGGCGAGGGACTGCTGAAACCAGACTTCTCTGACTTCTTTAATGTAGTTGGCGATGGCATTCCTGGCAAGAATGATTGATAAGTGCAATTTAATAATGCTAGGTCATGGAACGACAGCCTATGCATTGTGAAAGGGGGTGCAGAAGCAGCTAGACACACTTAAAGGACAAATGAAACGCGACACAACAGCAAGCTGAAAGCTCACTTTTATTTGTGGGGTTTGTTTTTGTCAAGGCAGAAGCAGCCATGGTTTGCTCTGAGCCATGAGTACTAAAAGGCAGCCATATTTTTCTTATAAAGCTGAAATACAGACAAGATGCAGCTTATTATTGCTACTGAAACCTACTCTGCTTTATTTTTAGAAATCTGTAATAGCTGGAGCATTTGGATTTTTACAGGTTTTTTATGAGTTCTGTCTTTCACTCCTTGGTTTAGTAGATTATTGCAAATGGGTCTTTTAAATGTGCCGCACGACTCAAGGCACAACCAGAGAATGGAGTTCTCTGAGTTCAAACTCTTCCTCCCCTCACTCTCTTGACTTCAAAGGCATTTGAAAGTTTTACATTTACGTGGTTCTCTTTCAATTTTTTTTTTTTTTTTAAGGGTGAACAGTATTTATGTCTTGATATTAGAAGCCACACTGGAATTATTTTGTAGTTTTTGTAATGCCCTTGAACTGCATCAAAGGCTCCCAATGAAAATCAGAGTTAAGTTGTCACTGGGTGAAACCTCTGCCATGGACAGGCACAAATGGTGTGGTACTCATCTGACTGGTTTGGTACACAGGGTGAGAATAACTCCTGTTCATGCCACAACATAGCTGTGGTATCAAAACAATTAATGGAATGAATACATTGCAATGGGCTTTTAAAACCCGAGCCTTTTCTGTGCATGGTAGATGCTTGGATGGAATAATTTTACAGTATATAAATGAAAAGTATGCATGTTTGTCTGCACTAGCCTATATTTTTGCAGTTCTAGATGCATCTGGGTATTCTGATTATCAGGATGTATCCTGACAACTCAAATTTCTAGTATATACAGCCCATCAGGCATTCTGCATATCCATAGGGATACAGCAAAACAAAGGTGGACATTTCAGGTGGAAAAGCAAAATATCACTTAATGTGCAAGTTGAACTTCCACCAGCAAAGTAATTTAATTTTATTTGCAACTCTGTGTTTTATAGTATTTAATTGTTGAAAAAAGTAAAGAGAGAGGCCTGGACAAGATTATCTCTGGGCTATATTATTAACTTTATATTTAATAAGACTAGTTTTATAGTCCCTGGGATGTTGATTGCAATATGCAGGAGCCTTCTTGTACTTTATGCTCTGCACTGCTGGGCATTAATGGTTTCAGTGAGGCTTTGGAGTTTATATTTCTGTAAGTTAAACAAAGTGAGGGAATGGTTTGAGTTCCAGTGTTGTACTTGCAGCTTTCTGCCTCAGAACTTGTTTGCTACAGGGTTTGCTGTTATGATGCCTTTTAGAAAGGTTATAGACTTAACATTTGAAAAATCAAAGCTTAGAACTGACTGTGGTGCAAGAAAAATAATGGGTTGGGGGTGTATTTTGGGTTTTTTTTTTTTCATTAAAAAAAAAATTTATGTGGTCTTAGGGACTTTGGAGTAGGAACAAAAGCAAAGATGAGTTCAGTTTCAGGGGAAGAGAGCAAAGGAGATTGAACTGAGGTGTTTCAATGAAATATTCCAGTGCAGCCTGCTGAATTTCTGCTCCAGTGGGATGTAACTTAGTCATGGCATGTCCATATTCAGGGCAAGGACACTCAAAGGAATTAATGGTGCTGCTGACCCAGATTTCCCTGTGATGGAAGAACTGGGGATGGAAACACCAAAGGAGTGTCAACGCCAGCGCTAAGTACAAAATATTATGGACACTCCAAGAGACTTTCATGCACAGGGGAGGTTCACTAACATTTTCCAGTGTGGGAGCTGCTCCAAGAGCAGGGTTGATGCCCATGAGCAGGGACCCAGGTGGGACATGAGTTACCTGAGCCCTGGGCAGGTGACAGAGGTCAGGGGAGGAATGACATCTCAACTCTGTGGCTCAGCAGGCTCAGGAGCTCCCTGCTTTCCCTGGCTAAAAACCCTCTTCAGGGCAAAGATAATAAAGCTTCTGAAGAAATGAAACAGCTTTTCTTTTACCCCAGTGTTTAAAAAAAAAAACCCTGCAGGACTCATCTCTAAACCACAGCAGGGAGAAGGGGCAGAGGGAGTGGAGAATGGTTAAAAGCTGCAGCGAGTTCGTGTGATTGTGTCCAAACACTGGAACTTGAGGAGCTACAAAGAAGCTGATGAATGACCTTGAGTGTGGCAATGCTGAGCAGTGTCATGTTCATATGGGGATGGATTTTCTAAGGTTGAGGCAGAGGCTTTCATGTGAAAATAGAGATTTTAATGTAACCCTACGCAGGGAAATTGAGTAGAAAAACAAACTGAAGTGCTGATAACTGGTTGCTACTTTTGCACTATTTGTTTGTTATCGTTCTGATTGCCATTATTATCACAAGTTTGGTTCATTTATTTTTTTTCCCAGAGTATTTTGAAATGTATTGGTTTGGAACAGTCCAACTATACCATGTTTTTGTTTTGTTTGGGGTTTGTAATGACACATTTTATTTTGAGTGATCACATCCATCAGATCTCAAGAAAAAAATGGCTGCTTCCTAGTTCAGAAGAATATGCAAACAGGAGCTTAATTACATCACTTAATATTGACCAGGAGAAAGAAGAAGATGAGCTTGCCAGCTCATTTCCAAAGCATGTTTTGTCCTTTAAGAGGGGAGGGGATGACAGAAAGTTAGGCAGTGCAAAGCAATTAGCATCATTCACATTTTATGTTGCGCTAGCATGGTGCTCTAGCAGCAAAATTCAAACATTCTTTGAATGGGTTAATAAAAGAAGAAATACAGTCGGCATGCAAGAAAAAGGTTTCCAAGAACAAGCCAAAATATGTCCTATTCTTCTAAATTTATCACAGCCATGTCACATTATCCTTGAGACTGCCAGGAATGTCAATTTTTTTGCAATTTAAAAAAAATATCTCATTTAGCACCATATGTTTGGTTAATGTGCCTGATATATCCTGCGTATTCTTTAGTCCATCCATTTCTAATACTCATTTTCTTCTTTTTTTTCCTCCCCTTGCTAAGCCATATGTTACAATGCTGGTCATTCTATCGAAGCTCCTTTCGGGAGCTGAGAGCGAGGGGACTCTTGTTTAATCACCCAGAAAAACTTTTGAGTTCTACAAGCCTCACTTAGGTGAGCAGTCTCAACACTTGAGTTAGTTGTAGCTGCCTGGTGCCTAGGAAAATCAGGCCACCTATGAGGTGGCACAGTGTATATTAACTATGAGGAAGGAACTGAAGGTAGGTGGCTCAACATTGAATTAGGTGTTTAATTTCTGGCACCCACGTTTGAGACTCTTGGCTAGTTTTAAGGGTCTTCTGCTCCAAACCTAATGAGTTTTAACACATTTAGCGGCCCCCAGTCCGCAGGGCCCCTCCTGTGCTGCTCAGGGATGCAGGAAATTAAAAAGTTAAGGCTGAAGGTAGCTGGGGCAGAGCTGGGGATGCATCCCGGGAGGATGGGGCTGCCTTGCACAGCTTTCCTCGGCATCGCTCCCGGGAGCCAGCGATTACTGGGGACCACTGCACTGAACACCAGACTTCAGCACTTCACAGGACCCTGAGGAAGGGGCAGCGCCAGCTCTGAGGACACCTCTGAGTCCCTGCTCTCCTCTCTCTGCTCTCTGATGCAGGGCAGCAACAAATCACAATCTCCCCCAGCCCGTCTCAGCTGCGCTGGCCGGTGGATAGGGAACGGAGCCAAGGATCCTCCCCGTTCCCTGCCTCTCTCCATCCATCTGCTCTGAGCAAGGAATAAACAAGAACAGCCAGAACACAACGGCTGGGTAACCCAGGTGGGGGTTAAAAGTGTTCCTCACTATTCTGTGGACAGGACTCTTGTCCAAGTCACAGTCACACCTGGCGCTTTTAGGAGGCACAGCTTTCAGAATCCAGGTCTGAGTCTCCTCTCAATGTTATTTAGAGTGAGAGAGAAGAAAATCAGACTTTGTCTATTTTCATCTTACGGCAGCTTTTAACTACAGAATAAATGGAGAAGTTAATTGCTAAATAAAAGAAGAAAATAAAGGGATTTGTGGCATAAAACGCAGATGGAAGCCTGAGTGGGTGTGCTACTTTAACTTACTGTACTTGTGTTCACGTGATTCTATATGTATGCCAAACATATATGGTCTGAGCCTGCTCCCATTAACATAAATCTGTTTTATTCACTGGACAGAGGGAACCTGATCAAAGACCATGATGGTGCTAAATGGAACAAGATGTGTACTTTCGTATTTTTTTCCAAAAGGAAATATTAATTTGACATTGGTTTTTCAGTCGAGAAGAATTTTAATTGCAGTACACAATAAGCAGAAAATTCAGACAACAATAATCTTGAAACTGTTAGCAGCATTATATTTCTATCAAGGAATTTGTGCGCTTTTTTCAACATTAGAGCTTTCTGAATTTTCATTAATTTGGCATTTCCCTAAACACACGAGTTATTATTTTGTTCATTCCACATCATGCATCACACCCTTCTGCTCAAATGCATAATGCAAGCGCAAATGGGATCCTTGTCCTTGGGAGACTCTGGTTACTGGAGCCATTGGATGTTGAAGTCCCGCAGAAAGACTTTCCAAAACTCTGCACTTCGCAAACCTCCAGCCCAAGTTTAATGAGTGCACAGGAAAACTTCGTGTTCCTCATCTTCTAAGGGGCACTGGAGCACTGTGGTGGGTTTAATTCCTCTACCTCCTTATGTTTGCCAGTACTAGAAACGCACCACATGAGAGTCTTCCTTGAGTACAGCTAAAGGTCTTCAAATGTTCATGTATGAGGCTGATATATATTTAAATGGACCAGAAAATGATGCGTGAGAATTGAATGCACAAATCCTCCCCAGGACAAACAAGTATCTGTGAACGTCTTTTCCGTGGACCTGCCACGTGCCTTACTAAAAAAATCGGGATTAACTCCGATGGAGTGAGCGGAGTCACAGCAAGAGGAGAACAATCCCCCTTCTCTCCAAATCTACACCTGAAAATCCATCCAGTTTCACTTGATTAATTGCTGACATTATTCTACCTGCACACGTCTCACACAACAACTCCATCTCTTGTTAGCTACGTTTGTAGACCAGCTCATATTCATCTCCAAGGACCTTTGGATAATCACCCCAATATTCCCAGCAGCTCTCTGCCACTAGATTCTTGATGGAGATTTCATAACAAAAGCTATGAGTGAAACATGGTCTGGGTCCTCCTTCCCAAGGCACACTAGGAGAAGGAATCATGGAAGCTCAGGTATTACCAGGTGGACCATGAACTCGACAACATGCAGAACAAACAGATGATGCAGAAAAACAAGTCGGCTGTTGAAGGAAAAAAACTGATATATGGGAAGCATTTTTCAAGGAATTTTCATCCTTCTGTGTGAATTATTCCAGCAATTCCACTGAAATCAGTGTCAACAGAAAGGCTGATCAGCTGCTCTATTTTTTTTTCTTTTAATTCCTGGGGAATTCTTAATTTCAAGAAACGTTGCCGGCTCCCCTCCTGCCAGTCACAGTAAGTCTGTTCTATTTAGTGCTGAGCAAACTTTGTCATCAGCCGAGATACGATCCCACTGACTGCCATCCATCAGTTTACTGTATTAATTGCTCCAGTGTACACAAAATACAACACAGATGGAAATTCAGTCATCCTAATGAAGTGCTCTTTAGTTTCTACGTTCTGAATGGGTACTGGCTCCCCTGGTTGCAGCCGGAGTTACCATGATCACTGATTAACTACCTGCCAGCGGAGCACCTCGCTCCACAAGGCTAAATCCAGCTTAATAAACAGTGATTTTTACAGAAGAAAAATGAAAGCTCCCCCTCTATCCACTTATCAAACTGCTGCATATGCATCACCAACACACACATCCAGTTTCCTCAGAACTCGACATCTGACAGATCATCAGGAAAACAGAGCTAATCTATCCGTACCCATCAACATCGTATCATAGGTGACTGCCAGATACTTAAGAAGCCATCCAAAAGAAATGTCACAACTCTTTTTCAAGACACTACAAAAGAAATGTTCCAAATAAAATAAAGCAAATGCACGTACAAGTAAATGAGCCAAAGAACTTAATAAAAAGAGATTGATTAAAATGAGGACCAGAATGTTCAAAAAGGACTGAGAGAGAGAGAGAGGTGCCAAAGGCGCATTAAATGGATTCAATGGCTTTAGGTTTTAAATGCTTTTGGACTCCTCAGCAATTTTTAGCCAAAAATGATAATTCAAGTTAGAATCAAAATTCTGATGTCACTTAGAGAAAAAGAAGGTTGAAATTTCTCCTTTGCAAATGAGCACAGATCCATTTACGAAGGAGAAATATCAGTTTATAGTGATGGACAACCTTGCCTACAGAATTTTAAAGCCGAGCACTTCAATATTCACAATTATTTTTAAATCCTACCCCATGAAAGTCTGCCTAAATTGTTTGGTACAACGTTCTCATAGAGTGTATTACCTTGTCTGTTTGTATCTGTGTTTACAGCATCATCTGGATTGTTTTAGGTTGCTTAAGTTCGGCTTCGTTCCTGCTCTGCCACCCAAGCAGTTCTTTCAATAACTAATAAACTAGTACTCAACATCTAACCAATTTCTTCAAAACATAATTTCATGAGTTATGTCTTTAAAAACTTTAATGAGAAGAGCAATAAACAGCAGGAAAACAGTTCAATTCTGCCTTTGAGTTAATGTCAGCTTCGGCATAATTTTCCATTGTATAAATATACATTGCAAGGAGAATAAAAAAAAATAAATTTCTAATGACGTCTTTAGACATCTCGTCTAAAATTCATGACTGCATTTGTTTCATTTCAAATGCTACTTGAGAGTTTTTCAGCACACTTGGCAGATTAGATATAGCAGCAGGGACAAACTGCAGCCATCCATAGGAGAATATACCTTTATGTGGGTGCTTTGGGGATGGAACATCTATAGCTGCAAGGCAAAAAATGCCATCATAAATTTGGATGGCATTTACAAAGCCCTCTAAAAAGTCTTTGCATATGATTATAGCTGAGGTATGATATTTTTGCAAGTAAAAGACCCAGAATAGATTTATGTTTCAACTATATCTTCCTGAAGATGCATATGGATCCTAAATTGTGAGTGATACTAAAGGGAATCTTAGTAACTGAAGAGGATGGAGTAAAATTTTTGGGGTTTCATTTATTTATTTATTTTCCTTAAAAATAATTTGCTCATTATTTGCATGTCATCAAACCATCATTGGCTACCCAGGCTATACATAACAATGATGGCTGCTAAATGCCCCAGGCATGAGATGGAGATGGGTAAAAATGCAGATTTTCTGGACTTGTGACCTCAGTTACTGCATGGTAATGCTTTCAAATGACTTTTATGATGACAAGACTAAGTTTGGTGCTAATATTGGTTTTGAAGATTTAATCGGTGTGCAGTGCCATTGAGCATGTATTTTAATTAATAAAAGAGCTGTGGTCAGGATTGAAAATAGCCCAGGTGATTTACCACGGACTGGAAAGCCACCTGATTTCTGCACAATTTGAGGTGAAGAGTTTATAGGTTATTCCAAAGGAAGAAAGAGTTGCAAACTGAATTTGTGTGCATTGCACCAAGGGATTTTTAATTTGGCAGGTCGAGAGTGGACTCATGGAACTGTTTTGGTACCCAGTGGTTCCTGGTGTTTTCACCCTCTGACAATTTGACAGTCACGGGACTGAACCTTCCAAAACACCAGAAATAATTTGTAGCTGCTGTGCTCCTCCCTGGGAAGGTCCATGATCACTGGAATGGCCCTGGGGACCTGCCACCAGCAGGTCCCAGGCAGAGAGACTGAAAGCACTTCCCCACAGGTGACACCAGACAGGTGACATCAGCCTCCCTCCTCTGCATCCCAGTGGCTCCAGGATTCCCGGAGGGAAGGCAGAGCACGGCATCGTTTCCAGAGGAGCCTGGATGGCCCTGCTGCCTGCAGGTCTGCTCCTGGGAGCTGCCCAAGCCCCCTGCCACCCACTGGGCAGCTGAAAACACCCCTGGCAGAGAGGCAGAGGGCTCCCAGGGAAAATCCCACGGCAGGTTCCACGAAAACAGGCACGGCAAGGGCAGAGGTGACATGGGAGTGCCCCCTCCAGCGCTGGCACTCCGGCAAAAGGGCTTGGCACGAGCTCTGTCCTTACTAGACACCGGAGAATCCACACCAGAGGGGGCAGCTGGGACATCCCCCCCAAACCCAACACGACAACTCTGTGCACCGAGAACGAGAGCATTGGCATTGTTTGAATAAGCACACCCACCATGAAGTGCTCCGCGGTGTTCGGGGTTTCTTAGATATCCTGATTTTATAAAAGAAAGTAAAAGAAGAAAAAAGAAACAAGGTGAGAGAGAACACTATCATATTTTGTAGCAAGCAGGATACTGTGTGAAATCTTGGCCCAGTGAAGTGATAAAGGGGAAGCTTTCAGTTTGCTTAAGGGAAAACTTACGAGCAAATAGCGAAATTACCAAAATACCACATTGCAGAAAATGGGCGCATTTAGGTTCAATTAAGCTGTAAAAAGGAAAATGGCACTTTAGCTTACAAAAACCAAGGGACACAGGGAGCTATCAGAAGCAACTTTACAAGATTTGTGTGCGTGAGGATGCTGCTTCACTGGACCAAGAAAGCTACAGTATGGGACAGGATTTTTCTTTTATCAGACACTTTTGCTAGACAGCTTTGTCCAACCTCAGAAACTGCTGCTCTGGCATTATGAAATAATCCTACATAACTTGATCTCATGAGCTTAGGAACACAGAAAAATAGCCATGCCAAATCAGATTACAGGGATCCACCTAGTCCAGAATCCTCTCCCTGACAGTGGGAACTAATGGACGCCTAGAAAAGAGTAAAAAACCAGGGAAAGCATACAGTGGTAATTCTCCAGAACACTCTCCCAAATGATTTGTGATTCAAGGACTTCTAGGACAAAGTTGATATCATGCTATTGAAGCTGCTCGAATCCAAATGCACAGATTTACATCCCCCCCCTCCTCCCCTTTTTTTGGTTTTTTTTTTTTGGATTTCTACCCCCATGAGATTTCTACCAGTCACACAGAAAAGGTTTCACAGTTTGGTGCTGGCAAGTCCAGCGTTCTTGCCACTAACTCAGAATGAGCTAACAGCTTTCAAAAGCCCAATGATGTTATGTGTATAAGAGCATCCAACACTTTTTCCTACGTAAAAAAAGTGACATGTGTGCTGAGGTGCTCTAAGTGTAAATACTTTGGGAGATTTGATTTTTTTTAAACCTTTTAAAAAAAAAAAAAAGAAAAAAAAAAAAAAAAAGCAAGGATCTGGCTGTAAATTGATATTAACATTTTTCAGTATATGTGTAAAACACATGTTTCAGAAGAATAGAAGAGAGAAACTGTCACTCACTGGGAAGCTTTAGAGCTATCTGGCTCCCTGGGAAACTGCATGCAACTATTCTGGTGTCCAAGGGTTTGACCAGTGAGTTTCCTCTTCCTGCAAAGAATGAATGCAGAAGTAATAGAAAGTCTGAGGGGGAAGATTTTAGCAAATGGCTAAAGATAATCCTGTTCTGCCCACTCCAGCAGGTAGGAAGCAGGTGGTGGTGGCGGAAGAAAAAGGGTGGGAGAGGAGGAACGGCTCCGTGTCCCTCCCAGGAGCTGGCACAGGGGAGGGAGAGCTCGGAGAGACCCAAAGGCTGCAGGCTCAGCCCAGTGAAATCCTTTGTGTGCGGTCACCCCAGCCCCAGGCACACAAAGCCAGCAAGTTCTGCTCTGATTCTCAGGGCCTGGCTGTGGCTCCTGTCAGCACGGAGCACAGGGACTGGAGCCCAGCACTCTGGGCTTCACTGGCACAGAAATCCCAAATGCCCAGACAGGAACACTGGCTTCTTGAGCATCCTCCTTAGTTTACTATCCGCTGTTCAAGGGGTTTTTTTAGAAAGTTTTTAATTTTAATTTTCTAATCGAATCGGTGCCTATACGTGAATTTTTTACTTCATTTATTAAAAGAATCAGTGAAAGCAGGGTTGTTTTTTTTTAAAAAAAAGCTTATCCTTACATTTTTGATGGCATATTGACTTTGTAAGAGTCTACAGGCAGGAGTGATATATCAGGGAGTCCCTATAACTTTACTTAAAGCAAAAATTAGAAAGTGATCGGAAAGTTTTATAGAGGAGAGCAGAAACATAATTTTAAGCCTCTTAAAATTGCCTGAACTGTGAAATCAAGTAATGAACACTAGAAAAGGATCTGTCAGCTGGAATCAAAGCTTAGACTAGTCAGCATTTTCTTCCTAAACCTTATTATGGCAAAGATTTTTCATCTCTGCACTCTGTTCAGCCCAACAAATAAACCAACTTGACCTCCACCTGTTACCCGGTGAAGTTGGCTGTCATCTCTGACTAAACCCTTTTCTTTCCCTTCAAAGCCCTCGGCACCACTGAGAAGGTGGGAAGACACAGCTGTGCACTGACTCAAATTGATACCAGCTCATAACCAGACAGCGTTTCACAGTACAAATTACAAGCAACAGAGGAGAGGGGGGGAAAAAAAAAAAAAAAGGAGAGGGGGAAAAAAAAAAAAAAAGGAGAGGGGGAAAAAAAAAAAAAAAGAGGGAAAAAAAATGTAGTGCCAATGAATTCTGGAAGGGGGCAACATTTTTCATCCATTTAACAATGAGATTTTCACAAAAAGAAGTTATTTTTTTTTGTTTGTTTGGGGTTTTTTCGTTGGTTCTTTTTTTTTTTTTTTTGTGTGTGATATTATGGATGAGCATTTGAGGCAAGAAATATTTTGCTTATGCCATAACAATGAACCTGTGCTAACACCACAGAGGAAGGACTGAAGAACATAATGGAAGCTATTTGTGTTGCTTTTATATTCCACAACTTGAATGCATTACACTGGTTCAAAGAGGTTCAGCTCCAATTGCATGTAGCTTTCTAGACTTAGGAACAAGTCACAGCTCTGTAATGCAACACTGCTAAATAAAAAAGAATTAAATATTACGGAACACAGAACAGCAAGAAATGTGCCATGAGGAAACCCGTGTAGCTGCTGCAGTCATTTCTTCAAACATATCACCGTGGCAAAACCGTGTGAGAAGCTTTCTAATACAAAGACATATCAGAAAAAGCCATTTCATATAAAGTTGGACTTCTCTGGGTGATTAATGCTACGTTCAACAAAGGAGACAGTGTCTGTCTAATTACATTAAATACTTATCTTCTAGGGATTGGCAGGGTGTTTCTGCTCAATGTCACTTTTCATGACAATGTAATGATAGATCCGTTTACTTACCAGTGCCATTAGCAAAAATTGTACTGTTTTCTCAACTGCCCTCATATCACAAAAATATTTGATTAACATACTGCAGCTTATCTAATACTCTAAGCAACATATTCTGCATAGTTTTCTCTCTATTAAAAGAACAAGATTACAGCTTGTAAAATTTTTATTGCACTCACACAGAAATAAATGAATAATGTGTGATAATAGTTCAAGTACCTTACTAGTTCACAGAACAGGTTTATTTGATTTAAAATATTAAATTGAACTTGAAATATTAAGATTTTGGGGGAAACAAGCAAATAAACAAAGTCAGTACTCCGAGGCACTACTTCAGGTCTTAGTTATTATTTCCTTTTCATTTCAGCACATGTTTTGAAACTTTTAATACCTTAGGGGAGGGAAAAAAAAAAAAAAAAAAAAAGGAAAAAAGCTTTCATTCCTTTGCTGAAAAATAGATATGGCCATCTCCCAAGTCTTTAAAATTCACCACATCGTGAACTGACTCTTCGGAGTCATGCTACTGTGCCAACATCCAGCAAACAATAACCCTCTGGAAGAATGTACCCAGCCAAGGCAGTTTATATAGCAACAAGATAATTTTATAAACTTATATTGAAGAGCGAGGCTGTGATGTAACATTCTAGCAGTATATATCAGCTACCTGATATTTACTAACAAGGTTAAACTCCTATCTGTTTGTCTCAGCACTCTTCATAATTCACTTTTTAATGGATGGACAGGAAAAGTCAGCAGCGTATGGCACAGATCATTTCTGAAATAGGACAAGACGGCTCACGGCAGTAGCTGCTCCAAAACACCCTTCCTGCTCTCCCACACAATCACATCAAGCCTGGACTTTGCAACTAGAGGGCTTCGAATCTGCTCATGAACCCTTCAGGGGCGTGTTTCTATTTCCAAGTAAATCTGAAAAGCGAAGGGTCACCCGAGGAGGAGGCGTCAGCGTCGACTGGTGCCGCGAGCAGAGCATCAGTTCTCTGCTTGGGTTGGTCCTCCTGGGCAGGAGAAGAGGCCCGTGGGGAGCTGCCTTCCTCCCGTGAGGAGTGGGAAAATCCACCCCATTGTGTCACGGAAATGCCACGAAATGGCAGCGAGGACGCACCGAGAGCGGCGCGTATCGGCGCGCATCGACGCAGCCGTGCAGGAAACACCCAAACTGCCTCCAAACCCCTCGCCAGTGACTCTTGCAGCGAGAGGATGACACCACAGCCAACTGCCACATGCCACTCTCCAAATTAATGATGGATTTAGGATATTCATTCCCTGAGCTGCGAGGGCTCGGGGTGTGTCCGCAATTATCGAGATATAAGTCTGACACACATTATCCTCCTATCAATGTCATTTCCCTTAGTAGCCAACAGATTATCAGCAGCTTTGTGATATTCCAGGTGTCAAAGAAGAATTAAAACCACAACAATTGCACAAACAAAGGGACAAAAGATGGGATACGTGTTTCTGAGCCCTGCATATCAATTTAATATGTGCAGCTGACAATGATGCAAATGTCCTCGGGAGAGAGGCAGCAAGATCCGTGCCCAAACATACACACACCACTGTCAGCAAGATGGCAGGGAACAGAAGCAGTAGGATTCCCAGCCCAGGACACATGCCTCAGCAGGCAGAGCAACCCAACGAAACAATCCTCTGGTTGGGGAGAATTTTGGAAGCACCTGATATGGAAAAGGGCCCTAAACAAGCCAGATGGTACTTTTAGCTGGCAGCAGAAAGTAGGAGACAGCCAAAAACATTACAGCATTTCCCCAAGAGGCCAGCAAATCGATTTTTAACCATTTTTTTTAAAGTGACGCTATGAATATGAAAAATATGTTTCGATGCCTTTTTAAATCACTAATTTTATGGATAATACACTCATGGAGGACACAACTGGAAGAGAGGGGAAAGCAATGGATTTTGACTTTCCCAGGGTGGTTGTATATTTGACATCAAGTTTCTATTCAGTCGCTGCCACTGTTTACTCAGAATTAAGTGTCAGTTTTTGTTCTGGGTTATCCACATTACATTAAAGAGAAAAACCCAGCAGAAGCAGAGGAATAGCACTGTAAAATCACAATAGCACAACAGTTCACAGGGCATGGGAGAAATGTGGTTTGAAGCCTGCTTTGTCCTCTTAAAACCTTCCCACCCCCCCAAATTAATGGGTTTCTAGATGATAATTTTTTAGCAGAGGACAAACAATTTCTCTGATACTTACAAGGTACCATTTGGTGGGGGATTTGCATAAGAAATACAGCTGTTTGGGGGAATGTTTTAATTTTTAAAACCTCCAAACAGCCAGAGTTTGCAATTCTACCTGGATGGCAGGGATCTTTTCAGGGATCAGCCTGATGTCAGATGTTGAACAGTCCCTTTGACCAGGAGCAGGTCCTGGCAGAGCACCTTTAGGTGACGTGTGGCTGGGGGGATTTCACTCAAGGATGGAGAACAGAGGTGGGTTGTAGGGACTGGAAGGGCAAAGAGAGGCAGAGGAGTCATGAACCAAGTGGGAATGAGCATCACCCTCTGTCTCAAAGCCGCTCCTCACGTGCAGGACTGGCCACGCTCCAAGCAAGAGCCAGGATGGTGCTTTACTTCCATTTGCTGGTATTTTGTTTAAAAGTAAAAGCAAGCCCTAAGACAGGGTTAAACCTGGACTACATCCAAAGTGCTTTCTCCTGTTCAGAGCAAGGTAGTGCATTAGTGTGCTGCATCATGGATAATACTCCTGGAGACAAACGTGGGCTGCTGCAATAAAACACTAAATGCGAAGAAAGATAATCCATACATTTATATTTTTCATATCTCCTTGATTGTAAATCCTTACTTTTTTTTAAAATAAAATTATTTCCCTCCTGTAAGTGTAACCCAAGACTTTGCCTCCAGCCCTTTTTGAGATAAAACAGTCCCATTTTTCTCAGAGTGCTGCTCTTGGGGCTGCAGGTACCACCTCACTTCTCTGGCTTTTCGGGGTTCCAGGAGCTGCACGCAAATCTATTGAGGCAAATGAAGACTGTGCAAAAAACCAGTAAAACAGCCTGTAATTTTCCAGCTAAATTTAGCAAGAGGATCTCTTATGTTATGCTTTTTGGTGTATATCACACTAAAAATAGCAGCGAGCACTGATGTAAGGGAAGAGCAGAAAGGATGATGTCAGTAGGGCTGTGCTGGAGTGCTGAGGACGAGCAGAGG